AAAAATACAAAAATTAGCCAGGCATGGTGGCAGGCACCTGTAATCACAGCTACTTGGGAGGCTGAGGCAGGAGAATCACTCGAACCCAGGAGATGGAGGTGCAGTGAGCTGAGATCACGTCACTGCACTCCAGCCTGGGTGACGAGAGCAAAAACTCTGCCTCAAAAAATTATTTTAAAAATAAAATAAAGAGAGCCCTTCCAACTAACTTAAGCCAAATATACTGCAGTGAGGCCAGGCGCAGTGGCTCACACCTGTAATCCCAGCCCTTTGTAAGGTCAAGTTGGATGAATTACTTGGGGTCAGGAGTTCAAGACCAGCCTGGCCAACATGGTGAAACCCTGTCTCTACTGAAAATACAAAAATTATCTGGGTGTGGTGGCATAGGCTTGTAATCCCAACTACTCAGGAGGCTGAGAAAGGGAGGATTGTTTGAACCCAGGAGGCAGAGGCTGCAATGAGCTGATATTGCACCTCTGCACTTCAGGCTAGGTTGACAGAGTGAGACTCCATCTCAAAAAAATAAACAAACAAACGAAGTCCATCTCAGAAGGTCCTTGTCTTTAAACTGGCTGTTACAAAATTTCTAATCCCTCCATTGTCAGATTTGCATACCACTTTCTATACTAGGGTGTCTCCCCCAAATGAGAACTTACTCAAAATCAATTTTAGAAATGATAATGGAGTGAACTCAAAGTTTCACAATTTAAGTATCAGGAAACTAGGCAGCTGTACGAAATCTTTCAGTACTTCTGACTGGAAAAAAACCCAACAACTTCCTCTTCCATGTTCGTCTCTTCATTATCAGCCTCCATTATCGGACGGGAGGTAATGTGTATCTATACTGTGGGCCTAGAACAGTGCCTTGCACACAGCAGGTGGACACAATGGGCAGGTGTTTTAACGTGCATCCTGTGAGCCCTGTCTCCTTAATTTATGTTTTCACCTTGAATAATGCTCTCACTGATACAACAACCATTCAGGAGGCTGGTAAAGTTTATGGGGAGACACTTCCAGGAGAAGGGGGGAAAGTCCTTTTGCAAAGTATTACTCGGGTACTTCTGTATTAAACAGTGAGCAATGGATTGCCCCCCAAGACAATCACTAGAGTTGCTTGGACAGCAGCCAGAATAGGTGTCACCTTAGCAGTTACTGGAGACCACCCTTTCCCACCCCCAAGCAGGAAGCGGCGCTAAAAAGCACAGAAATTCATTTCCAGAAGACAGCTTAAGTGCCTAGCTTGATGGTGCATCTGCTGTGTCCTGAGCAGTTAGCCACTTAGTGCAGACAATTACCAAGTGATAAAACAAAATTAACTTGTGATTTCATTTTTAAAATGTTTGTTAAATGAATTATTTCTTTGCTTTTAAGCACAGATGGTCCGTGACTTAATGATTTTTCAACCTTACAAGGGAGCAAAAGCATTAGGCACTCGGTAGAAACTGTACTTTAAGTACCCATACAACCATTTCATTTTTCACTTTTAATACAGTATTTAATAAATGATATGAGCTGGTCAACACCTTATTATTAAAAAGGCTTTGTGGCAGATGATTTTGCCCAACTGTAGGCTGAGTGTTCCGACCATGTTTAAGGTAGATTAGGCTAATCTATGATGTTTAGTAGGTTACGTTTATTAAACGCATCTTCTACTTTCAGTGTTTTCAGCTTATGATTGGGTTTATTGAGACACAGCCTCATCGTAAGTTGAGAGGCATCTGTAATATAGCACCCACAGGTCCAAAGGTGGACGAGAAGAAAGTGCCAAGAAACATACCTACTATTCCTAATGGTACCACTTAACCAAGCCCATGATTTTGGACAAGCCCCTGAATCTTTTTCTGTTTCTGTCCCTCTCCATACTTATAGGAGCCACAAAAGGTTCAAATGAAATTAGAGTTCAAGAAGACTTCGGAGGCCTGAACAAGTGAAAGGTGCTAACACCTTCACCATCATCGCTAAGCAGAGCCGGGAAAGGCCTGAGGCCATCTCTGCTGTCAATATGACATTGATCAATGTCCTGACTAATGACTGTGGTGGCCTTTCAGTGTTAACACTCATCCAAGCATCATTGAGATCATCAGTAGTTGTGAGCATGGAACAATGTTCCCTGCTGTGGGCATGTATACATTGTATCCTTATTTATAAAGTTAGTATGGGTTTGTACATGGATAACATTATTTAATTTTGTTAAGTTACAACTCCACATAGTCATGTGAACCAACTGGAATCGCAGATGTTTTGGGATTTATTTCCGAAAACATATACTACAGAGAGAAGTAAAAGGCTTTCAAAGTCATTGAACAGTGCTGGACCACTTTTCTGCTAAAAGAAAGTCATTGGAGAGGTGGGGTGGGGATGGGATTACAAAGTCTCCACCTACCTTGGCAACATGAATGACTCTAAAATAATGTGGGTCAAATACCTTTGCAGGAAACATCTTAACCACCCCACATCAGGACCTCTCTTCCAGTGATAAGTAGAGAAGAGCAGTGCTGAGTGGAAATTCTCATTTAGAACACTAAATGTAAGTAACTCAGTGCTGGGTAACTTTGAGTCAACAAAGCCCCTCAAATCCCGGTTTTAGAAACCACAACAGAAAGGGCCAGTAGGCTTCAGATACCTTGGGGACCAGCTCTATTTCTTCATCTCCCTGTGTCCTCAGTTTTGCATACTGCCAGCTCACAGCAGGCCTTCATTCCTTTTTCCAAGTAATCTCAAACTGAGCACCTACTATGTACCAGGCACTGGGGCTATCATTTTGGACAAAACAGATGAAGCAGTTTTCATGGAGCTTCCACTGTAGTGGTGAAGACTATCAACCTGCAGACAGATCAGTATAACTCTGGCTGCTGCTATAAAGGAAATATTAGCTGAATAAAGGGCCCAAGTGGCTTATCCCAAATCACAGCATACTAAATGGTGGAAGAGGCCAAACTCAAGTCTCCCAGCTCCTATTTTCTCTTCCCTTATGTCTGCTGCCCTCTATCCTTCACTCAGCAAAAGCGCCATACATTTGCATCAAAAGAGGCCCAGTCACCAGAGGCTCTATGATCTAATGAAATTTCTTCAAGCCTCAAAGTGCTTACCTGCTTACCTCCAAATGAGAATGGAGGGACTAACTGGATCTCACCCTTTTCCAACAAAGCTTACTCTTTCAGAGAAGGCTTTAGTAAGTCCTGGGATCTTGCAGTACCTACTCGCCAGGACATGGCTTTAGGGGTCGGCTGTACAGAGAAAACATCCCTGCAGCCCACCAGTTTATTGGCTAGTTCTATAGGGCAAGTCAGACTACTGGCACCTGCTTTGATGCAGCAGATTCCTCACGTATTTATTAAGCAGATTTACTAATAAGGTCAGATGACTAAATTCAGACAGTAGACGTAGGTTCAAAATCACCAAGCTGCAAAGAATCAAGGAGCCTCTCTATGTGAATAGAATTTACTGCAATAAATAACAGTAACATCGTTTACAAAATGCCTAGTATGTAGTAGGGGCTTTGTTTGTACTAAACAGCCCCTGAGATATATATGCTCTCTCAAAGATGAAGAAGCCCAGAGTTCAATAATCGGTCCCCCAAAATATACAGCCAGAAAAGTGCAAGGCCTGGATTCTAAGCTGGCAAAGAAGGGCGAATTGGGGATAATTAACACACACGGGCATGCAAAGAAACGAAGACACAACCACAAGTCCACAGGGTTGGCAGGCGGTTGGAAAGTTACAAATGCACCGCAAGGAGAAGATACCACCATAGGCCCAGAGAACGCAGGAAAGTGGGAACTGACTCTTAACGCCCTTCCCCCAAGGCGAAGAAGGAAAGGCAACCCCCGAATTCTTAAAATAACTCTCGCTTCCTCTCAGCCGGCAAATGCACCGGACTGCTCCTCTGCAGGCGGAGAGGCGCCGCAGCGGGAGGGTGAGCTCCGGCCTCTGCCGCAGCCCCTCGACGTCACGCTCCTGCCGGGGGCCACCAGGGAAGGCAGCTGTCCGCGGGCCTGGGAGAGGGCGTCGGCCAAACCCCACCTCCCACTTTCTGGGGACCCAGGGTCCAGAGGGGAGACCAGATTGCACAATCGGAGGAGTCCTCTCCAGGATCCCCGCCGCGCGCCCAGTCCGCAAGGACAGGGGCTTGCCCGCGGTGCACGAGAAGCCGCCGGTGCGGGGACAGCAGCCGGTCCTCCGGCCCGCGCCGGGAAGGGCCCGCGCCGGGAAGGACCCGCGGTGAGCCCGCCCCCACGCCCTCACCTCCCATCACCCTCCTGCGCTGCTACGCGCGCGGACACCTGCGGAGCCCGAGTCCCAGCGCCCTAGCTCCCCTGGGCCGGGTCACCCGCTGGCTGAAGAGATCAGCGAGTCTTCGCCGCCAGGGCCGGAGGCGGTGCGGCCAGGAAGCTGCCGCCGGCCGCGCGGATGCCCCAGGCCCCGAGCTGACCTGCGCCCGTCACTCCGGCTGGTGGCACAGCCGCCGCCCCTGCACCCACCGCCCGCCGCCCGCGCCCACCCTGGGCTCGCGCCAAGGACTCACCCGCTCGCGGTGAAAGTTTCGGGGCGGCGGAGCTCCACGGTGACTTGAGTTCAGAGCGGGGGGCGCGACGGGGCGGCCCAGCGGGACCCGCGTAGGGGGAGGCTGCTGGCTGGGAACTCCGGACGCGCGGCGAGGGGCTGCGGGCGCGGGCTCGGGGGTGGCGCGGCCGCCCAGCTTGCCGCGGGCTGGAGGCTGCAGCTAGTCGGGCCCGGAGGCGCCACTGCCGGGGAGCTAGCGGCAGCGCGGCCCGGCGCGGCGGGAGAGGAACTGGCTGTCTCTGGGCTCGACCGAGAGGTCCCAGCTACTTCCTGGTGCTCGGATTTGCATATTGAGCCCGGAGGGCGGGGAAGTGACCGTTTGGTCCCTGCCCAAGGTTTGGGTGTTTGGTGTGGCCGTCGCGCAGGGTTTGAAGGCACAGAAACCTGGCGACTCAGCCTGCAGCTCCGGCGAGAGGAGCAGCCCGGGCCATCCTTCTGCCGGGACCGACGGACGGACAGGTCTCCGGGTAGCCTCGGCTTCGCAGGCGCATCGACGACATCTCGCGGGTCTCCTTTCCTTTCCTTCCGACCCCTCCTCAAGGTGTTAGGAAAGGGGTGTTCCCGGGAACGGAGGAGGTGAGCTCTGATCCCTTCCAACACTAGGGGGTCTGTAGAGAGAGGATGCGATGTGCCGGGTTGAGGCTCGGGGTCTCGGGCTCTTAATAATCATTACAAAGTAAGTTCCTTCAGGGTGTGCAGGGTTCAGGGCAGGCTGTTCAGGGCATTGATGGGGGAGGGGATGACATGGAGTCAAATGGCCCGGCAAGTTCTCCGTTTCTCAAAGCCTCAGTTTCCCCCCAGAAAATGGATGTAAGGATGCCTATCGTGTACTTTTCTGTACCCGGGCCGCACCGCCCGCATGCGGGAATGCTGGCTGTTACTTCGTTCCTGCTACAGCTGCATGCCGGCATGCAGGGCAGTGCTTGCAAGTAGCAGATGCCCAACCAGTATTTGCTGAAAGAATGTGTGACCGCGGGCTCAAGCTCATGTTCAACTTATCCAAGATGTAAGATTAGGCTCGGACACCATGGATACCCACGTCGAAGCCAGATTCTGTTCACTGGGATCCCAGCATTGCATTACCTTGAAGAATTTACAAGGAAGCAAATTGGACACTGTGGGAGACTTGGTCTTTGCATTAATAGCAAACATTTACAGAGGGCCTGATGGGCCAGACAGTGCCCAAAGCACTTGCTTTCCCTCTCAACAATGTTCTGAAGAGGCTGGCCCCAGCTGCAGTGCAAGAGGTCAAAGCAGCTGCCTTGTGACACAATCTGATACGGCAATCTGAGTACTAAGTTTGCAAACTTTAGTACTCCTTTCCATAGTAACGAATTCCTTAAAAGAAGAAAAGGAGGGTGGTTTATATCTGTGATGTTCACTGGTGTGTAGTTCAGTTAGTTTGCTGCTGAAGAGAAGAAGGGGTGGGTTACCCATGGGAAGGTGTGTGATTGAAACTTACCAAGAATCCTATGGAAAAAAAACAAAACAAAGCAAAACAAAAACAAAGAATCCTATGGAGTAATTCACCTGAGAGCCTATTGCCTGCTCTTTTCTTCAGAATGACCTCTCAAATATGTTAATCCTACATTCAAGTATCTATTGCTACTGATGAATCCTTAAGATCCTGGCTAAACATGAGTGGCAAATAAGAGTAGGGTTCAAAACGTTTGGTATTGGCTAATCTATCAGGAATGTCTGTCAGTGTCTTTGGTAAAATGTCTCTCCAGGTAAGGAGAGCATCATCAGGCAGACATGAACTTGATGAACCCAGCTCCCCAACTCCCAACTCCTCACACACAAGATGTCCTCACTAAGTTCATCTCTTCATTCTTATTTGGAAGAAACAATACCATGCTAATTTCCACTTCTTAGGCTGCATTTATACTTGCTGAATACTTCATTCAATCATTCTCTATATCTGTTTTTCCTTCCTAAAGTCCCATGAAAGTTCTGTTTCTCAGGAAAATTTGATTTAAAGCTCCTATTCATAGTCAACTTTTCTTTTTTTTCTTTTTTCTTTTCTTTTCTTTTCTTTTTTTTTTGAGACGGAGGTTTGCTCTTGTTGCCCAGGCTGGAGTACAATGGTGTGATCTCGGCTCACTGAAACCTCCACCTCCCGGATTCAAGTGATTCTCCTGCCTCAGCCTCCAGAGTAACTGGGATTACAGGCGCTCACCACGATGCTGGGCTAATTTTTTATATTTTTAGTAGAGACTGGGTTTCACCGTGTTGGGCAGGTGGGTCTCAAACTCCTGACCTCAGGTGATCCACCCGCCTCGGCCCCCCAAAATGCTAGGATTAAAGGCATAAGCCACTGTGACTGGCCTTGATAGGCAATGTTTCTAAGCATCTATAGCATGTACAGTATGCAACATTCTTTTCAACTAAACCTAGGTACTTTTTTTTTTTTTTTTTTTAGATCTGATGGTTTTAAATAGACCTAGGTACTTTCTAACATTGTTTGCCCTTGTTTTACATGTTAGCCTTCTCTCCTCAACTACTGCAAAACTCATTTTGGAAAGGCACTGTTTTTCATATTTATCTGTTCCCCACGCTACCACCCAAAAATTATGTTGGGTGCTTTAAAATACCTCATTAATATTGAATGATTTGGCCTGGCGCGGTGGCTCACACCTGTAATCCTAGCACTTTGGGATGCCGAGGTGGGTGGATCACCTGAGGTCAGGAGTTCAAGACCAGCCTGCCCATCATGGTGAAACCCCATCTTAAAAAAACAAAAAATTGAATGATTGGTTAATTGATTGATTGACTGATTTATCTCACCAGTATTCTCTAAACTGAGCCCAGAAGGCGGTGATCAGAGGCGGGGTGCAAATCAACCAAGGCTCCTTGACAGGGTAGGTGGGCCTTTGAAGAAAGGAAGGAATAAGATGGGCAGGACAGGAGAGTGAAGTAGTGGGAATACATTAATTATGTACAGTGTATCCTCACTTTTGCAGATACCATATTTGTGAATTTACCTACTTGCTAAAATTTATCTGCAACCCCAAAATCAGTACTTGAGGTGCTGTCCCAGTCACTCATAGACATGCACATCCCACAGCAGTAAAGATCTTGAGTTGCCCCATGCACACCCTCCCAGCTGTGGTGGGAAAAGGCAATGCTGTGCCTTCTGGTATCCTTTCTGCTATCCGTTTTGTTTATGCTTTCCACACTTCTGTGCTTTTTGTTGGTGATTTTGCTGTTTAAAATGGCCCCAGGCAACTGGGTGCAGTGGCTCACACCTGTAATCCCAGCACTTTGGGAGGCCGAGGTGGGAGGATCGCTTGAGCTCAGGAGTTTAAGACCAGCCTGGGCAAAATCATGAGAACCTCCCCCCCCGATAAAAAAAGAAAAAAACATGAAATAACAAAAAATAAATGGCCCCAAGCGTAGAGCAGTCTGTTGTCGCTAAGCAGCAGAGGCTGTGGTGTGCCCACTGGAGAGGCGCCCTGCTGGCAGGAGCTACTGTTCACCTGCTGTGAACTCAATGTTAATAAATCAGCCATATATTAAATAAGGTGTCCATCAAACAGAAACACACACAGAGTAAGGTTCTGTATTAATCATAATGTAATGAAAATGTTGTGTCCAGAGACTCACAGGAAACTAAGAACTAATGGCTCGGTATTCACTAATTCAGTGTTCACAGTGACCGTAGAACGTAACTACTGAAAATAATGGGATGCGACAGCATACAGGAACATGTCATCATCCACGTGGGAAAACGAAATATCTGACCTCCAGGAACTTCTCCATTAGCACCGGCATGATCATCTCATCCACGATCCATGGCGCTTGAGGCTGGGATAAGTCACTCTGCTCACCTGCTCATGTCCACCCATCTGTGCTGCAGCCTGTCCTCCTGCCACTGTGTGAGCTGCCCCTGCTGCCTCTTCTACTCTTCTTCCATCCAACTCTTGCAAACTTGGCCACAGACCTCACTACCAAGTAGCAAATAATACAGAGCGGTGGTGCTCAACCCTGGCAGCACATTAGAATCACTTGAGCTGCCCAGGCTCCATGCCCAGGCTCTAACTAGACCAGTTAAATCAAAGTCTTTGGGGGCTGGGGATGGTGAGGGGAACCCCCATTATCAGAGACTGAAAACCTGGCCAGGTGGTTCCAATGAGCCGCCAAGTCTGGGAACCACTGGTAGAGCGTGCTCTGCCCTCCCCTAGCCTGGAGCTCACGTCTCTGAACAATGTCCACCTTCCTCAAGCCCTCACACCCCCAGGTCCCCTGTCGTTAAGAGAGTAGCATGTGGCCTGTCACAGTGGCTCACACCTGCAATCCCCTTTGGAAGGCTGAGGCAGGTGGATCACCTAAGGTCAGGAGTTTGAGACCAGCCTGGCCAATGTGGTAAAACCCTCTCTCTACTAAAAATACAACAATTAGCCTGGTGTGGTGGCTCACACCTGTAGTCCCAGTTAGTTGGGAGGGCGAGGCAAGAGAATTGCTTGAACCAGGGAGGCAGAGGTTGCAGTGAACTGAGATCACGCCACCGTACTCCAGCCTGGGTGACAAAAGTGGACTCGTTCTCAAAAAAAGAAAAAGAAAGAAAGTAGAAAATAGCATGGATATATGCCTATGTGTGAGGGGTAAAGTGGTAAGGACTGAGAATATGAAACTTGTATTACCGTTTCACTGGGAAAATGTGTGACTTTAGCACAAGTGATTATAGATTCAAGGACATTAATAAAGAAAAACAAAAAATGTTAAGAATTATTTTAGGCTACAGAAAAATTTTAATAACTGTATGAAATATTATTTATAGATAAATTGCCACAAAGCAGATTTTTTTTAAATGGTTATCCAGGCCAGGCGCAGTGGCTCATGCCTGTAATCCCAGCACTTTGGGAGGCCGAGGCGGGTGAATCACGAGGTCAAGCGATCGAGACCATCCTGGTCAACATGGTGAAAACCCCATCTCTACTAAAAATACAAAAAAATTAGCTGGGCATGGTGGCGCGTGCCTGTAATCCCAGCTACTCAGGAGGCTGAGGCAGGAGAATTGCCTGAACCCAGGAGGCGGACGTTGCGGTGAGCCGAGATCCCGCCATTGCACTCCAGCCTGGGTAACAAGAGCAAAACTCCGTCTCCAAAAAAAAATGGTTATCTAATATTAACAGGTATTACACGGAGAAAGTATTTATGGTCAACTAGGGTTGGCAACTTTTTGAGTTGAAACAGTCTCACCAAGCTCCTTGTAACATAGTGATGTCGCTGTCAATCTCCATGAAGGGGCTAAGTGTGTTTTTGTCCCAACTCCTATACCCAGGTCATGGATTTGCTGAAAGCTGCACCTGGGACCAGCTGTCAAGCAGAAAACACAGCTTCTCATTTTTTTTAGATGGGGTTTCACCATGTTGGTCAGGCTGGTCTTGAACTCCCGACCTCAGGTAATCTGCCCACTTTGGTCTCCAAAGTGCTTGAATTACAGGCGTGAGCCACCACGCCTGGCCTGCTTCTCATGTTAATAGAGATCTCTCAGAGCCACCAAGCTGGCCGTTGTTTCATCATCACCCTAAACTAAATTCAGAAATGCTGAATGTTCATACACTGTAAGACCGTAAGACAGCTGAGAGCAGGCAGGAACGTCACTGTCACCTGGTGCTAGCAGAGCTCCTGGAACTGTGGTCTCTGATGTGCTCCTGGCTTGGTCACTGGCATAGGCATGGCAGCAAAATAGTTTGTTTTTTTTAAATGTGTTTTATTATTAGTAGTATTATTGTGATTGAGATGGTGTTTTGCCCAGGCTGGAGTACAATGGCACAATCTCAGCTCACTGCAACCTCCGACTCCCGGGTTCAAGGGATTCTCCTGCCTCAGCCTCCTGAGTAGCTGGGATTACAGGTGTACACCACCATGCCTAGCTAATTTTGTATTTTTAGAAGAGATAGGGTTTCCCCATGTTGGCCAGGCTGGTCCCACCTCCTGACCTCCGGTGATCCACCTGCCTCGGCCTCTCAAAGTGCTGGGATAGCAAGTGTGAACCACTGTGCCCAGCCAACAGCAAAATAGTTTAAATTGTGAACAGGAAAGTGTCGCATGTGGGTGCCTACACTTCTTTCCCAGTATGAGAGCAAACACAGCCTCCTTCCTTGAGCCTTACATCACTCTTTGGGGATGGAGCTTATCCAGAGTAACCTTTCGTGATGAATCATCAAGGACCCTTCCGGGTCTAGTCAAGGCCATTGCCTCTCATTTCCTCCTTGTCTATGTGAGGCAGACTATGGTTCCATTCACTCATCACCTCCTGTGTGCCAGGAACAAGATGGGGTCCCATATACAATTCTACAAAAGCAGTTTGGTAACAGCAGTCAGGTGAAGATGGAGCCGGATGAGGATGTTTGTGTAATGTTGATAATGATTTTATGTTCTGGTAACATCGTCTGCCTTGTTTGACGATGTGTTGTTTTCATCTAAGTACATGTTTGGTTTGGTGGCCATCTTGGATGTCCAGTTTCTGTCGACGGTTTTTTTTGTGGGGTTTTTTTGTTTGCTTGTTTTTGAGATGGAGTCTCACTCTGTCACCCAGGCTGGAGTGCCCTTGGCTCACTGTAACCTTCACCTCCCAGGTTCAAGCACCTCTCCTGCCTCAGCCTCCTGAGTAGCTGGGATTAACAGGCATTTGCCACCACACACAGCTAATTTTTTGTATTTTTAGTATAGATGGAGTTTCACCATGGTGACCAAGCTGGTCTCAAACTTCTGACCTTAAATGATTCACCTGCCTCAGCATCCCAAAATGCTGGGATTACTGCATTGAGTCACTGCACCCAGCCTGTCTATGTTGCTTTTGAATAATCCAATACGGCTTCTAGTTTTTGGCCTGGTAGGAGGCATTGGCTGAATCCCTCCTAGTTCTCAAGCCTCATAGCATGATGTAGTTAGTACCACTTCTTGCATTTGCCCAGCATTGCTGTGAGATGAGAGGTATTTTACAGAAATCAACAGAAACCTTTCAGAGCCACCAAGCTGGTCGTTTCAACATCACCCTAAACTGAATTCAGAAATGCTGGGTGTTCATACCCCATACGACAGGTCGAATTATGGGTGAAGAGGTGTAGGTATGCTTTAATATGAACCTCATTGGCTAGTTTTCCCAGAGTGCATCAGACCAGCAAGCTAGTGATGCCGTGTGCCCAGCTACAGTGCGAAGGACACCTCAATGGCTTATTTCACCTATTTCACCTTATTTCACCTCCAGAAAAGTCCGGAAAATGCAGAGCATTGCTCCAGGTGACTCAGTAAAATCTCAGCCCCCCTCTACAAGGCAGAGCTCATCCCAGGGTGGGCTATGGTTTTCTCCAACTCTGGGCATGTCCTTTTGTTAATCTGAATGGTTTATATGTGTGTCTATTCCTCGGAAGTCCTGTTTATCTTGATTAGTTATTGTTAAGCTCCAAGAATACCACTATCCTAAAAATACGACTGTCCTATGACATAGAGTATTTGGTTCTTAATTAGAGATTCTTCAAATCAGATTGTGGACAGAATGCAAAGTTATAAGAGGAAAAAATTGCACTCATAAAGTCAAAATTTAAGGCTGTATTCATTTACCTTCCAAACCAGCAGAAGAGTTTTGACTGAACTGATGTGATTTTGAACCTGAATTGCTTGTCTACATGGCCCAAGGATGTCAGAAGAGGCTCGTTCTGTACCCGTGATTGCTGGATAAACTACACTCAACGGGACTCTGTTTGCTTATCTATAAAATGAGCCATATCTAGCTGGCACAGGTGCTCGGAAGGCAGCCAAGTGACCCAGTGTTCCGAATCTGCAGAGAAAAGAGATGGCATGAGGTGGAGGAGGAGCTGGAAGGAGGAGTAGGAGGTTGGCTAATACTATGAGTATACATGATATTGAGAGTATTTTAGGGCCGGGCGCGGTGGCTCATGCCTGTAATCCCAGCACTTTGGGAGGCCGAGGCGGGTGTATCACAAGGTCAAGAGATCGAGATCATCCTGGTCAACATGGCGAAACCCCGTCTCTACTAACAATACAAAAAAATTAGCTGGGCATGGTGGTGCGTGCCTGTAATCCCAGCTACTAAGGAGGCTGAGGCAGGAGAATTGCCTGAACCCAGGAGGCGGACGTTGTGGTGAGCCAAGATCGCGCCATTGCACTCCAGCCTGGGTAACAAGAGCGAAACTCCGTCTCAGAAAAAGAAAAAAAGAGAGAGAATATTTTAAGGTGGCTCAGGCCATACCAACAAACGCATTTATGCCTTTGTTTTCACTAACTGCCTCCCTTGACCTTCATCCTCACACAGCCGAGTCTTACCCATCTTTCAAGGACAGTGCAAATGCCACCTCACTGAGGAGGCCTTCTCCAGACATAGCACGTCTCTTTCTCCCTTGAAATCCCACAGAAAGGTCAGGCGTGATGACTTACACCTGTAGTCTCAGCACTTTGGGAGGCAGAGGCAGGAGGATCACTTGAGCTAAGGAATCAGAGACCAGCCTGGACAATATGGTGAAACTCCATCTGTACAAAAAATACTGAAGGCTGAGTGCCATGGCTCATGCCTATAATCACATCACAGCACTTTGGGAGGCTGAGGCCGGTGGATCACCTGAGGTCAGGAGTTTGAGACCAGCCTGGCAAACATGGTGAAACCTGTCTCTAATAAAAATACACAAAACCTAGTTGAGCTTGGTGGTGCATGCCTGTAATCCCAGCTATGCAGGAGATGGAGGCAGGAGAATTGCTTGAACCTGGGAGGCGGAGGTTGCAGTAAGCAGAGATCTTGCCACTACAAGATCCAGCTTAGGTGACACAGCAAGACTCTGTCTAAAAAAATAAATGAATACCACAGAAAGTGATGTCTAGTTCTTGTTGACACTTGTCAGTTTATACCTTTATTCTAGTATTGTTATTTATCCACACAGGGTTCTTTTTTTTTTTTTTTTTTTTGAGACAGAGTCTCACTCCATCACCACAGGCTGGAGTGCAGTGGTACAATCTCAGCTCACTGCAACCTCTGACTCCCAGGTTCAAGCAATATTCCTACCTCAACCTTCTGAGTAGCTAGGATTACAGGCACACGCCACCACACCCGGCTAATTTTTTTTTTTTTTTTGAGACAGGGTTACGCTCTTGTTTCCCAGGCTGGAGTGCAATGGCGCGATCTCGGCTCACCGCAACCTCCGTCTCCTGGGTTCAGGCAATTCTCCTGCCTCAGCCTCCTGATTAGCTGGGATTACAGGCACGCGCCACCATGCCCAGCTAATTTTTTGTATTGTTAGTAGAGACAGGGTTTCACCATGTTGACCAGGTTGGTCTTGAACTCCAGACCTCAAATGATCTTCCTGCCTTGGCCTCCAAAAGTGCTGGGATTACAAGCATGAGCCACTGCGCACAGCCTTAAATGTACCTTTTTATTAGTCGGGGCTCTCCAGAGAAACAGAATCAATAAGAGACATCTCTATAACTATCTCTCTGTCTATTTGAAAGTGAGAGATTTATTCTAAGGAATGGACTCGTGATTCTGGGGGCTAATGAGTCTGGAATCTACAGTGCAAGCAGCAGGCTGGAGACCTAAGGCTGAGTTTATGTTGCAGCTCAAGTTCAAAGGTAGTCTACTGACAGACTTCCCTTTTCTTTATAGAACCTCAGTCTTTTTCTCTTAAAACCTTTAGCTGAGTGGATGGCATCCATGGCCGTTATGCAGGGTAATCTGCTTACCTAGTATTTGTTGAATTAAATGTTAATCTCATCTACAAAATACCTGATCTGCCCACAAACACATGGGCAGAGACTTTGGGGTTTGTGGTGTTTAGAGCATGGCCTGGGAAGGTTGATGAGCTCCAGGAGAACACAAACCCACAGACTCCTCTCCTGATGGGAGGGCCTAGGCAGATCAGGGCCCTTTACGAAGTAGGGAATGGGGCCAGGGTTCTTCTTACTAAGCTCCAGGAATGGGGCACAGTCGCACCAGCTTCTCTTGTTGGGCATGAGAACCTGAGATTCCAAGAGCTTCAGTGACATGCCTCAGGGACTTAGCTCATTCGGCTCAGAACAAGCACCACCACTGCCATTTTTACGGGTTAAAAATCGTTGAACCATCACCAGGCGCGGTGGCACATGCCTATAGTCCCAGCTACTCTGGAGGCTGAGGCTGGAGAATCACTTGAGCCCAGGAGTTCTGGGCTGTCGTGCGCTATGCCGATTGGGTGTCCGCACTAAGTTCGGCATCAATATGGTGACCTCCAGGGAGCGGGGGACCACCAGGTTGCCTAAGGAGGGTGAACCGGTCCAGGTCGGAAACGGGGCAGGTCAAAACTCCCGTGCTGATCAGTAGTGGGATCGCGCCTGGGAATAGCCACTGCACTCCAGCCTGGGCAATTCTAAAAAAAAGGTTTGAACATTGGCAAATGAACATGGTTCAACATAGTACATAAGTATTGTACTTAATGCTAAATGTATTTTTATTATAAATATAAGACAATCTTTCAATAAGCTCCCTGAGAAAATAAAAACAAAATCTTGACAAAAGTAGATGAAGATGAAATGTAATTACTCTGTAATCTGTCTTGGGGCTTAGTAAGTGAAAAAATAACTTTGCACCAATAGAGATGTGGTCAGGAACATGGAAACACAACTTCTGACTTGGTTTAAACTCCTACCTCTTACCTTTTCTGGTCTTGGTGGTTTTTCTTTGTTTTTTGTTGTTGGTGGTGGTGGGTGGTTGTTTTGAGATAGAGTCTTGCCCTGTCACCCAGGCTGGAATGCAGTGGTGTGATCTCGGCTCACTGCAACCTCCACCTTCCGTGTTAAAGAGATTCTCCTGCCTCACCCTCCCAAGTAGCTGGGACTACAGGCACATGCCATCACGCCCGGCTAATTTTTGTATTTTTAGTAGAGATGGGGTTTTGCTGTGTTGGCCAGTCTGGTCTCGAACTCCTGACCTCAGGTGGTCCGCCCGCCTCGGCCTCCCAAAGTGCTAGGATTACAGGTGTGAGCCACCGTGCCAGGCCTGATCTTGGTGGGTTTTAAGGCTTTGGTTGGGGCCACACAGATGGATTTTGTTTAAGTGGTTGGAATGCTTGGGCTGCAAAGAAACAAGGAGTAAGATGGTAGTTGTAATCATATTGGGGTAAAAGAAACTAGTATTTTACAAATTATTTTAGAATGCATTATTTCAACAATCTTGATAAATCTATGCGGTCGAGAGGGTAGATGTGATTTCCACCCAGTTTTTCAACCACAGAGAAAGTAACATTTATTTTGTGTGAGGATTACATGACGTACATGTAACGTGTAACATGCATGTCATTTAGTCCTCAAAGCCACACCAGTGTGGCTATTCTGTCCCTCATTTTACAGATGAAATTGTAAGACTTGCTCAAGGTCACATAGCTAGTGAATGAGGAGCTGTGCCTCAATTCAGGCCTCCTGAGCCAGAACCAGGGAGCTTCCCAGCAGTCTCTGTGCCATCATTCAAAGGCAAGCCACCTCATCTCTCCTCTCTACCTCGCATGCAGGTGGCACATGGCCACATCCCAAGTCAGGTTTCACAGGCATATCCAAAAGGATCCTGAGCTTTGAAAGTTGAGGACACACCCTTGCCCACCTTTGCATTCCTGTGCCTGGCTCAGTGCCAGGCACAAAAAATGTCCAGTGAATGTCTGTTAGATGAATGGATTTTTTGATATATTAAAGATTATTTTTAGCCAGTTATGGTGGCTCATACCTGTAATCCCAGCACTTTGGGATACTGAGGTGGATGGATATGAGATCAGGAGTTGGAGACCAGCCTGACTAACATGGTGAAACCCTGTCTCTACTAAAAATACAAAAATTAGCTGGGGGTGGTGGCAGGTGCCTGTAATCTCAGCTACTCAGGAGGCTGAGGCAGGAGAATTGCTTGAACCTGGGAGGCAGAGGTTGTAGTGAGCCGAGATTGTGCCATTGCACTCCAGCCTGGGCAACAGAGCAAGACTCTATCTCAAAAAAAAAAAAAAAAAAAAGATTAATTTTATAAACAAAATATTTTATGGTTTTATAAATTGATTAAAGCCTAAGTTCTCTAGGGTGTCAGCCAGCCACAAAAATAAACTTTCTTTGAGTAAAAGAATATTGTATAGAAATTATAAGATCTCAGTGCCAACCCTAGTTCCACCATGTATTAGCTGTGAAATCCAGATCTGCTCATTTTTTAGAGGAGGGGTTGGCCCTGCTGGCATCTGTAGTAACCTCCAGGCCTCAAATGCTATACTTCCTCGGGGAACACCGAGTGTGAGGACTTTCATTGCCAGTTCAGGGCATTTTACCTAAGAAAATGATTCACTGTGACCTGGAGCAATGACTTGGGCAGTGTAAAGAAGCAATTTTGCTTAGGTCATTTCCAGAGCTGCTTGTCAATAAGGAAAAACACTTGAGAGGTATCTGCACACAAAAGCAGTGGTAAGAAGATTGCCAGCATGGAAAAGGGTAAACCTCCACCAACCTTTATAAGCCATTCCAACTAGATACCTGCGCTAAACACAAGAACACCCTACAATGACTAGAGAACTAACATGAAATCTTCTAAAGTTTCTATTTTTTTTTTTTCTTTTGTTTTTCTTTTTAAAAGGTGGGGTTTTACCATGATGGCCAAGCTGATCTTGAACTCCTGACCTCAGGTGATCCACCCACCTCGGCCTCCCAAAGTGCTAGGATTACAGGCATGAGCCACCATACCCAGCCAAGTTTCTTTAACTAAGAACATTTTGTAATCTGAACCTGAAAAGTTAGAATACTGCTAAAATATATGGCTGAATAAGGCACATTTCTGATAAAGTACAAATAGTTGTAAGAGATTATTTTTCGAGCCGGGCACGGTGGCTCACGCCTGTAATCCCAGCACTTTGGGAGGCCAAGGCAGGTGGATCACAAGGTCAAGAGATCAAGACCAGCCTGGTCAACATGGTGAAACCCTGTCTCTACTAAAAATACAAAAAATTAGCTGGGCATGTCTCTACTAAAAATACAAAAGATTAGCTGGGCATGGTGGCACGTGCCTGTAATCCCAGCTACTCAGGAGGCTGAGGCAGGAGAATTGCCTGAACCCAGGAGGCGGAGGTTGCGGTGAGCCGAGACCATGCCATTGCACTCCAGCCTGGGTAACGAGCAAAACTCGGTCTCAAAAAAAAAAAAAAAAAAAAAAAAAAGATTATTTTTCAATTTTAACTTATCCCTTTGGTGGTACCCAGTTTTTAACCCCAAGAGAAAGGTGTCCCAGAGAGATGGGCTCAGGATATGATTGAGAACTAATGAAATAAACTATAGTAATCCAATTCCTTAGGCTAAACACAGATTGAGGGGGACAAAATTCAAATTTTAGGACAATGTATTAAAATAAGTTAAACAGGTCATGCTATATGAGATGACATATGTGTCACTTAAGTATGAAAACAGGAATAAGAAATGGGGGCCCCTGAGAAGGCTTTATTGGAAGCCGCCGGAGGCTTCAGGCCAAGTTTCTGAGCAGCAGGTTTTAAGTCCAAGGCAATCATTGGCAAAGTTCTCCTGTCGAGAAGCAGGGATTTCCAAGCCATTACATGTGTTCTGAAAATTGGACTGTTTCCAGCTTTTTTATTAATTTACACATTTTGCATGCCTGGCATTGTACTAATCGAACAGTGGCCTAACCAACATAAATAATATTGAATTCGTTAATAACTAGCTGCAGGGTTGGTGATAAAATGGAAGTAAGTGAAAGCTACAAATATCGGCTGGGCTCAATGGTTCATGCCTGAAATTTCTGTATGTGTACTCAGGAGGCTGAGGTGGGAGGATTGCTGAAGCCCAGAAGTTCGAGACCAGCTTGGGCAATATGGCGAAACTCATGTCTGCTAAAAAAAATTAGCCAGGTGTGGTGGCACAGGCCTGTAGTGTAAGCTACTTGGGCAGCTGAGGTGAGAGGACCACTTTAGACCACTTTGAGGAAGTGGAGGTTGCAGTGAGCTGAGGTCGTGCCACTACACTCCAGTCTTGGTGTCAGAGTGAAACCCCATCAAGAAGAAAGAAAGAAAGAGAGAAAGAGAAAAAGAAAGAAAGAAAATGAGAGAAAGCTGCAAACATCAGAGACCCTTTCTGTACACAGTTATGCTGCATTTGTCACACAAAGCTCTTAGATGTCACTTTTTTGTTTGTTTGGTTGTTAAAGTGACAGGATTCCAGCCTGGGCAACATGGAGAAACCCTGTCTCTACTAAAAATGCAAAATATTAGCTGAACATGATTGATGTGAACCTGCAGTCCAGCTACCCAGGAGGCTGAGGTGAGAGAACTACTTGATCCTGTGGGATTGAGGCTGCAGTGGGCTGTGCTCATCCCCCACTACACTCTAGCCTGGGTGACAGAGTGAGCCCCTGTCTCAAAAAAGGAAAAGAAAAAGGCAGGGCGCAGTGGCTCACGCCTGTAATCCCAGCACTTTGGGAGGCCGAGGTGAGTGGATCACAAGGTCAGGAATTCAAGACCAGCCTGGCCAACATAGTGAAACCCCGTCTCTATGAAAAATAAAAAATAAAAATAAAAAAATAGCCAGATGTGGTGGCCAGGCACCTGTAATCCCAGCTACTCTGGAAGCTGAGGCAGGAAAATCACTTGAACATAGTAGGCAGAGGTTGCAGTGAGCAGAGATCACACCATTGCACTCCAGCCAGGGTGACAATGTGAGATTCCATCTCAAAAGAGAAAGAGAGAGAGATCTTGCTCTATTGCACAGGCTGGAGTGCAGTCGCATGATGACTGGTTTCACTGTAACTTTCAGCTCCTTGACTCAAGGAATCCTCCTGCTCAGCTTCCTAAGTAGCTAGGACTACATGCATGTGCCACCATGCCTAGCTAATTTTTGTAGAGGCAGGGTCTGGCTATGATGCTCAGGCTGGTCTCAAATTCCTGGGCTCAAGCTGTCCTACCACCTAGGCCCCCCCAAAATGCTGGGTTTATAGGCATAAGCCACCAACGCAGCCTTTTCAACCCCAGAGCTGTTGATCCTCAGGTCTCCACATGCTTGCTTCTTTTCATTACATGCCAAGTACAATACGTGCTCTACGTTGTTGTATTTTCTTCTCACACAATGCTTTGTAATTGGTATTGTTCATTCCTAGGTTGCAGAGGAGGAAGTAAAGCTCAGAGAAGTAACTCGCCCAATATCAAACAGCCAGTAATTGTCAGGAAAAATAATTCTCAAATTCAAGTATTGCCTTTACGTAAAATATTAATATCTTTATGTAATTTAATCTAGGTGAACTGATGATGTGTTCATCCTTTAGCCTATGGATTAGAGTGGGGAATGTAACTTCCTGGTATGAAATAAAATGCTTAAGAAATTTGAGAACACTTCTGAAAATGAAGTTCAACCTAATTCGTTAATGTTTTCTAATAGTCTTTGTCATCAGTAGCTAAAGAAACCACTAATTTAGGCCGGGCGCGGTGGCTCACGCCTATATCCCAGCACTTTGGGAGGCCGAGGCGGGTGGATCACGAGGTCAAGAGATCGAGACCATCCTGGTCAACAAGGTGAAACCCCATCTCTACTAAAAATACAAAAAGTAGCTGGGCATGGTGGCACGTGCCTGTAATCCCAGCTACTCAGGAGGCTGAGGCAGGAGAATTGCCTGAACCCAGGAGGCGGAGGTTGCGCTGAGCCGAGATCGCGCCATTGCACTCCAGCCTGAGTAACAGCGAAACTCCGTCTCAAAAAAAAGAAAAAGAAAAAGAAAAAGAAACCACTAATTTAATTCTTTAAGCAAAACAAAAATAATAATTCATTAATTTGTTAGTTATTTCTTCTTTCTGTACATGTTAGCTGACTTTTGCCTTGGTCTTGCAAATCCTCAACCACTGACCGACAGCCCAGTAAGCTGTTGCCTATTTATCTGATAATTCTCTCACCACTCTATTGGGAAGCAACAAAAAATCATTTTAAAATCAATATGAGAACTCTGAGTAAAATAGCATATTACCAAAACAAAAGTATATACCCGTTAGCTTTTTAGGAAGTTTCCATTTTCCCATTAAAAAACAAAAAACTAAGAGTCAAAACCAATGTCAAAAGCGGGAGTGAGAGGTGAGAAGAGCACAAATGAACAAAAACCATAGAAAGAGGATTTGTGCTCTAAAATAAAAATCGAGTTTGCAGGGATTTTATCGGAAATGCTAGTCCTTCAACAGTGCCTTTAAAATTCTTTCTTTTGATGTAAAATTACGACTATAATTATAATGTTTTAGTCTTTGGCTAAAATTTGGTTGCCTTTGCATCTCATGCAGAACCAAAAGAAAAAACTAGAAGCATTGGAAAAACTGCACAGCAAGTACAGGATGTCCTGTTGCATTTATCTGAGTAGACAGACCCATGACTCACTATAAAACTTGACACATCGGAAATGGTTTTATTGTGCACAGTCCTTTTCTCTTCATAACTATTAAACACATAGATTTGAGGATAACGAGATCCATTTGTCCAAATATAAAGGTATCTGCTCTAATTCTTTTTGAAGTGAGAAGTTAATTGTACACAATGATAGCGCAGGAAGTATATGCGGCATCCAGTCAAACCTTGTCTCAGAATCTCAGAAACTCTCGTCATCACCCCTGCTTAAATTGATGATAACAAATGATATGAGGAAGATGTCTCTTGATCGAATTGATATGTTTTACATTGTTTGGCAAAGTCGGGGTAGCACTTACTCTATTGAAAAACCTCTTTACGGGAGGCTGAGGCAAGAGAATCCCTTGAACCTGGGAGGCGGGGGTTGCAGCGAGCCGAGATTGCACCACTGCACTCCAGCCTGGCGACAGAGCGAGACTGTCTCAAAAAAAGAAAAGAAAGAAAGAGAGAATGAGAGAGAGAAAGAAAGAAAGACCTCGTTAGCCTTGAGCCAAACGAAAGTGATATATTGCAAAAACTTACCAGTAATCTAATAAGAAGAGCAGCTTCACATAAAAAGGGATGGCAACTGTTTCTCATTGTGATAAAGCAAAACAAATTCCATGTATTCAATTTTCCGAATCCTTTAAAAAACAAAATAAAATGAAGAATACATACATCTATTCTCTTCCTCTTTTTTTTTTTTTTTTTTTACCTTTTTTTCAGAGACAGGACCTTGCTCTGTCACCCAGGCTGGAGAGCAGTGGCGCAATCATAGCTCACTGCAGTCTGCAACTCCCAGACTCAAGCGATTGTCTGACCTTAGCCTCCTGAGTAGCTAGGACAACAGGTGTGCACCACCATACCCAGGTATTTTTGTTTGCTTTCAATTTAATTTAATTATTTTTTGAGATGGAGTCTCATTCTGTGGTCCAGGCTGGAGTGCAGTGGCATGATCTTGGCTCACTGCAACCTCCACCCCCCAGGTTCCCCGTTCAAGCTATTCTCCTGCCTCCTGAGAAGCTGGGATTACAGGCATGTGCCACCGCATCTGGCTAATTTTTGTATTTTTAAATAGAGATGGGAGTTCACCATGTTGGTCAGGATGGTCTCAAACTCCTGACCTCATGAGCCACCTGCCTCAACCTCCCAAAGTGCTGGGATTACAGGCATGAGCCACCCCGCCTGACCAATTTAACTTAATTTTGGATTTTTTGTAGAGACTGTGTCTCCCTATGTTTCCTAGACTGATCTCAAACTCCTGGCTTCAAGTGATTCTCCCGCCAAAGTTCTGGGATTATAGTGTGCCTGGCGGCTTTTTTTTTTTTTTTTTTTGAAAGGGAGTCTCACTCTGTCCTCTGTTGCCTGGGCTGGAGTGCAGTGGTGTGATCTCAGCTCACTGCCCACCTTCTAGGGTTCAAGTAATTCTCCTGCCTCAGCCTCCCAAGTAACTGGGATTACAGGTGCACGCCACCACACCTGGCTAATTTTTGTATTTTTAGTGGAGACAGGGTTTCATTATGTCAGCCAGGCTGGTCTCAAACTCCTGACCTCAGGTGATACACATGCCTTAGCCTCCCAAGTGCTATAATAATAGCCTCCTATAATCCCAAAGTGCTGGGATTATAGACGTGAGCCACCATGCCCAGCGTCTTTATTTATTTATTTTAATATCAGTTTACACTATCTTATATAGGAAGCCTAAAATGTCTCCTCTGCGTAAATACTTCCCAGTTACCTTAGCTCAAATGATCATTCTCCTTTCAGTGTACATTTACTGCCAAACAACTCTTTAAAAAAAAGAAACAAATGATTGAACAAAGAAAGATTTCCCTTAGTCAAAGGAAAAGAAACAATTTAACAAGGAAAGATTTCCCTTAGTCACGGAGATTGTTAAATGATAAAATTTAGTCCTAGTTTCTTCCATTTTTCATCCTCATGCACACAAATATTGACATATTTGTGTGCATGTGTTTGTGTGTGAGTACAGGGATGTGTGTGTGTGTGTAGAGCATGTGTAGGGATGGTATTTGTATGTGTGTAGATACGTGGTATTTTGTGTGCAAATACAGGTATGTGTGCAGAGCTGTGTGTATGGAGTGTGTGAATAGGGATATATATGCACACGATAGGTGTGTGTAGGATACCTCTGTGGGTAAGGGGGTATGTGTGTGCACAGGACTGTGTTGTAAGGTGTTTATGTGTGTAGTGGAGTGTTGGCATGCAAGGATGTGTATGGGAGGCATTATATGCAGGTATACAGATTTGAGTGCATGCAGATACCAGTGTATGTGTGTGTATAGGGAGTGTAATGTCTGGGAAGGAAGTTTTGAAAAGTGGGCCAGCCTGATCACCTGAGGTCAGCAGTTCAAGACCAGCCTGGCCAACATGGTGAAACCCCCATCTCTTTTTTGTTTTGATTTGATTTGTTTTGTTTTTTATAGAGATGGGGTTTCACTATGTTGGCCAGGCTGGTCTTGAACTCCTGACTTCATGATCCACCCATCTCAGGCTCCCAAAGTGCTGGGATTACAGGTGTGAACTACCGCCCATCTCTACTAATAATACAAAACATTAGCTGGGCGTGGTGGTGCCTGCCTGTAGTCCCAGCTGCTTGTGAGGCTGAGGCAGGAGAATCGCTTGTCCCTAGGAGGTGGAGGTTGCAGTGAGCTGAGATTGCGCATTGCACTCCAGCCTGGGTGACAGGAGCAAACTTCTATCTCCAAAAAGACCAAAACAAAAAACAAAAAAAGAAAAATGGGCCAGTCATGGAGAGGGATTGAGATGAAATTAGAAAATAAAGGCAACAGGTGGGAAGCCAGATTATACAGTCTTTGATACCGAGGCAAGGAATTGACACATCATTTAATGAACAGTGGAGAGTCACTGCAGGTGGCTGGCAGGGGCAGGGAGGGGAACTGATTATCAGAATTGCTGTGGGGCATCACTAGGGTTGCACTATTGCACTATTCCTGGACATTGAGGAGCTGGATTTCGTGGGTTGGGGTTCATAAGACTGGCCTGAGGATTAAATTAGATACTATGCATAAAGGACTTACCATAGCGGCTCATGGGAATTTTTCCAAGGAGAAGGAGAGGAGGTAGAAGGGAAGAGGAGAAAACACAGGGACTTGCAAGGAATGCTTCATTTGGGCAGAAAAAGAGGAACTTCGCATTCTGTTTTCAACCTTTCAATCTATTCCTGTGTCTAATTCAGCCTCAGCATCTAAATCCCTCTAATCTGCATGGAATAATACTCTCAACATAACTCAGACTCAAGGAACTCCAGAAGGGAAGGAAATGCCTTTCTATTCATGTGGCATGGCACTCGGTGCCCATCTTAGGTGGAGTCTTGTCAACCTAGACTTTGTCTTCCAGCCACGGCAGGTAAGGGGCGGCTCACTGATGGAGGGGGCAGACGCAAATACATCTGCAGGACAAAGAGCCGGGCTCCACAACTTCACATCAGTCCTATGTGCAAAATGAAATAAAAAGAAACAATGACAGCTGTGTGATGTATCGTATCAGGATAAGGATAAGGGAATGTTTGTCCACAGGAAATGGACTGCAGTTCCTCTGATTTCTATTGTATGCTCTTATAGGAGTTACTTTGTCTTTTACCCATTGTTATGGACTGAGTGTTGGTATTGCCTCAAAGCTCATGTGTTGAAATCCTAACCCCAGTGTAATGGTATTAGGAGGTGGGGCCTGGGGAGGTGATTTAGGTCATGAGGGTGGAGCCCCTCATCAATGGGATTAGTGCCCTGATGAATGAGACTTTACTGGGTGTGGTGGCGCACACCTGCAATCCCAGCACTTTGGGAGGCCGAGGTAGAAGGATTGCTTGAGCCCAGGAGTTCTAGTCTAGCCTGGGCAACATGGTGAGACCTTGTCTCTATAAAAAATCATAAAATGAGGCAGGAGGATTGCGTGAGCCCAGGAAGTCGAGGCTGCAGTGAACCATGATTGCAGTGGGAATGAGCCACTGCATTCCCACCTGGGTGACAGAACTAGACCTTGCCTCAGGAAAAAAAGAAAAGAAAAGAAACGGACCTGAGAGCTCTCTTTCTCTCTTTCTGACAAGTGAGGACACAGCCAGAAGACAGAAGTCTGCAGCCCAGAAGAGGGCCCTCACCAGAACCTGACCTTTGATCTCAGACACTGCAGCCTTCAGAACAATCAGAAATTAATTTTTGTTTTTAAGCTTCCCAGTATATGGTCATTTGTTATAGCAGCCCCAACTGACTGAGACACACTGTATACCTACACATAGGAATAATAAACCTTGCCACATATTTCTCTTTTTCACCTGCCTTTTATCCCAATTCCTCTCCTGGGCTAATGAGCATTATTGCAGACATTGGTGCATCCTAGAGTCAAGGTGTCTACGTATTTGCACCTTGTATTGCACCTACGTATTATCTCTTTTTCATTCAACATGAAGTTATTGTTGAATGTTTGCTGTGTGCTAAGTGCTCAGACAGGTAGAAATGATCCCCATTTTGTAGTAGAGGAAATGGAATCTCAGTGAGATTGAGGTGTCCCTAACAACACAGCTGGCAGATGGGAGCGCAGCTCACAGCCCAGCTCATCCACTGTGCACTCCCCACTCCACCCCACCCCACCCCCAGCTTGGTCAGCTGACCTGATGCACAGAAGCTTTGTGAAAAATCTGTCCTGACAAATTAAAGTTAGCCTTGGCCAGAAGATCAAATAACACACTTGCACACTTGTGTTACCCAGTGTGAAAAGCAAATGAGTGTGTTGACATCCCTAAACAAGACACCTGTGTAGCTGCCTTTATAGCATTATATAACATAATATTATAGGCCAACATTCTCTACCCTACATATTGCCTCCTTAGGATACAGAAACCCAAGTGGGTGGGGATACTCTGGTCTTTTTCAAACACCCTGACACAGGGAGAAAAGAGAGACTAGGAAAGAAAAGAAACAAAGTATCCAGTTAACCATCAAATCAAGCTATAAATTCATTAGAAGATAATTTGTTTCTAAAAATAACTTCCTGGTTGACTTTGAGGTTGCTGACAAGTTTCAGTTTAATGAATAGTAGTTTCTAAAAAAAAGTGAGATGAAAACAAATGAAGAAATTTTGTTTCTCATTCTGGTTTAAATGTTTTTTAAAAAGCAAAACTTTGGATTAAATGTAGAACTGGCAACACTCGATACAGTATTGAGAGAGTTCAAGTTCTCAAAAAAAGAAGATGGTTTTTGAGAACTTGAACTCTCTCAATACTGTATCGGCTTAGCTTGAGTCAAAGTAATAAATTTTAAATAAATTAACAAATTCTAAAAGGACACTTTTAAGGATGTTAAAAGTATATTTAGGCTGGGCGCGGTGGCTCACGCCTATAATCCCAGCACTTTGGGAGGCTGAGGCAGGTGGATCACAAGGTCAAGAGATGAGACCAACCTGGTCAACACGGTGAAACCCCATCTCTACTAAAAATACAAAAATTAGCTGGGCATGGTGGCACATGCCTGTAGTCCCAGCTACTCAGGAGGCTAAGGCAGAAGAATTGCTTGAACCCAGGAGGCAGAGGTTGCGGTGAGCCAAGATCGTGCCATTGCATTCCAGCCTGGGTAACAAGAGCAAAACTCCGTCTCAAAAGAAAACAAAAGAAAAAGAAAAGTAAATTTATTTATGTATTTATTTATATTTTTTGAGACAGGGTTTCACGCTTTTGCCCAGGCTGGAGTGCAGTGGTGTGATCATGGCTCAATGTAACCTCCACCACCGGGGCTCAGCCCCCCAAGTAGCTGGGACTACAGGTGTGCATCACCATACCCAACTAATTTTTTAATTTTCAGTAGAGTCGGGGTTTTGCCATGTTCTCCAGGCTGAGCTGGAACTGCTGCTGAGCTTAAGCAATCTGCCTGCCTCAGCCTCCCAACATGCTGGGATTACAGGCTTGAGCTACCGCACTTGGCCAAAAGTAAAACTTAAAATCATTAGTTGACTATAACCACATTATACATACTATGGTGAATAAAGCCTCCGCTGGTCTGGGAATATACTGGAAGGGAAAGAGATCATGAATTGAGAGTGGGCTCGGGCCTTCCTCAGTGCAGATTGGGCCCCCCACCCACTGGGTGAGTGGGAGTCATGATCTTGTTTCTTAATTTTTGTGATTGTTTGTTTCTTTTAAACCTAAATCCTCTTGATTGAGAACACACAGACCTTTGCCAAACTGAGTGCTGATTTTTCTGGTAAATCAAATGTTATAGGCTGAGTGATGTCTGTAAGGCCGGTTGCCTAGCTGGGGGCCAAATGGACACACCCATTCCTCTCCGTACCTGAAAACTAAGTCTCATTCTGAGCCCATTACTCAGCATCTGGCCTCTCCACGCGGGCTCCCCACACCCATTTCCGCATTCCAATCTCAGTCCTGCACTCATCAGCAAACTAGGCACTCAGCCCCGCCAAAATTTAAAAATCCCGCCAAGACCTGCCCTATGGCAGCTTGCCCCGTACGTCCTCAGCCAGCCCACTTGCCAGCAGCCCCGCCTGGCTGCCAATGGCGGCTCGCCTCGTCCGTGCCCAGTCCCTTCATAACCAATGAGACTCCCTCCGCTTTGTTTCCCCCGCAGCCAATCAACTACCTCCACTCCCTATACAACCCCACGCCCTAAGAAGAGAAGCGCGACTTCTCTGGCCCCTTTACCGGACCATAGAACCTCATCCGGGAGCTGAGTAAATTGGCTTTTACTTTTTTACTCCGGTCTCCGTTCCCTCATTTAACCCAGCAATAAAACTTACAATGTCCACTAAAATTCCTAGGTTGAAGTCTAACCCCCAGAACCTTGGAATGTGACCGTATTTGAAGAGATGGCCCGGTCTGTGATTCCTTGCTGTGGCAGCCCTAGAAACCAATATGCCAACCAACTCATAAACAGACAAAAAAAAAAAAAACAGAAAAAAACTAAATGCACAGGATTCCAAACCCAGTGGCAGCAACTCCCCTAGCATGTCCTTCTCCCAGGATAAAAATCACGTTAGGGAGAAATACACAGATGGAGAAATAACTATTAATGTAGTGCGTGTACAGGTACTCCCTCCCTTTGCTCACAAGGAGGCCCTGGGAGATGCAGCGCCTCAATCAAAATGTACACCCAGTGCCTAGATCTTGTCTTCTAAGAGGATACAGGACTCCCTGGGAAGAGGCCAGTGCCAGGGCTGAGGCCAGGAAGGTACCAGATGAGCTTGGAACACCCTGTTGAGGCTGAAAGTGAGTGCTCAAAACATGATGGGAGCAGCATCAAAAGCACACCAGGACCACCCTAAAGAAGCTCCCACTTGCCAGTGATGGGTCAATTTGACCAGCTTTGGTTAAATTATAAAATAATGAAAGTAGGGCCGGGCGCGGTGGCTCACGCCTATAATCCCAGCACTTTGGGAGGCCGAGGCAGGTGGATCACGAGGTCAAGAGATCGAGACCATCCTGGTCAGCATGGTGAAACCCCGTCTCTACTAAAAATACAAAAAAATTAGCTGGGCGCGGGGCACGTGCCTGTAATCCCAGCTACTTAGGAGGCTGAAGCAGGAGAATTGCCTGAACCCAGGAAGCGGAGGTTGCAGTGAACCGAGATCACGCCATTGCACTCCAGCCTGGGTAACAAGAGTGAAACTCCATTTCAAATAATAATAATAATAATAATAATGAAAGTAGGCTGGGTGTGGTGGCTCACGCCTGTAATCCAAGCACTTTGGAGGCCAAGGCGGGTGGATCACCTGAGGTCAGGAGTTCAAGACCAGCCTGACCAACATGGTGAAACACCGTCTTTATTTAAAAAAAATATATATATATATACACACACACACACACATATAATAAATAAATAATAAAAATAATGAAAGTAGCAAATAATAATGGATTATAACCATTAACATAACATAGAAACCATAAGTCTATGCTGACATTTACTTACTTTTTTTTTGTTTTCGAGACAGTCTTGCTCTGTTGCCCAGGCTGGAGTGCAGTGGTGGTCACCTTGGCTCACTGCAACCTCCACCTCCCGGGTTCAAGTGATTCTCATGCTTCAGCCTCTGGAGTAGCTGGGATTACAGGCGTGCAGCACCATGCCTGGCTAATTTTTTTGTGTTTTCAGTAGAGACGGGGACGGGGGGTTCTCACTATCTTGCCCAGGCTTGTCTCGAACTCCTTGCCTCCAATGAGCCTCCAGTCTCAGTCTCCCAAAGTGCTGGGATTACAGGCATGAGCCACCGTGACTGGCCTATGCTGACATTTAAATGGAAAGTTTGATGAGAAACAGAATACTTACCTAGTTTTAAAGCTTCTCCTCAGAAAATACTTATTATAAAGAGGAAAATAGTTAAGTGTTCAGTGGAAAAGCCTGGCAGACATCAATTTCATCAAGGAGTCAAAATAGTCAGACAAACTGATACCCTTATGACCTTCTATGACACACAAAAAGACACAGCATCACCAAGGAGACAGAGCCTGAGTGAATCATGAGAAGAAGTGTCAGGCCTGAGTGAGGAGCTTTCTGCAACATAACTGACCTGTCAGCTCCCGGAGGGTCAAGGTCCCAGGAACTGTCCCAGTCTAAATCATACTGAAGACGCCTTAGCTCAGTGCAGTGCCTGACTCTGATCTGAAGGTCTTGCTTGCTGAAGGACATGGTTGGGACAACTGGCAAAACCTAAAAGGTATCTGAAGATTAGATGGAAGTAACGCATCAGTGTTAATTTCCCAGTTTTTACCCTTGTTCTATGGTTCTGTAGCAATTGTATAGGAAGTTTTAAAGGGTGATAGTGTCTTAAAATAGGTTTGTTTTATTTATTTATTTAGAGACAGAGTCTCCCTCTGTTGCCTAGGCTGGAATGCAGTAGCACGATCTTGGCTCACTCCAGACTCTGCCTCCCAGGTTCAAGTGATCTAGCCTCAGCCTCCTGAATAGCTGGGACTACAAGGCGTGCTCCACCAGGCCTGACTAATTTTTGTAAGGGGGTTTTGCCATGTTGCCCAGGCTGGTCTCCAACTCCTGGGCTCAAGCAATCCTCCCACCTCAGCCTCCTAAACTGCTGGGATTACAGGTGTGAGCAACTATACCTGGCCAGGATTTATTTTTATTTTATTTATTTATCTGAGGCCAACAGATCAGGAGACAGAGTTTTGGCCACGTGCAGTGGCTCATGCTTGCAATGTGTTCTGGGAGGCCAAGGCAGGAGAATCCCTTGAGTCCAGGAGTTCAAGACCAACTTGGCCAACATAGCAAGACCCCAGCTCTGCAAAAAAAGTGTTTAAAAATTAGCCAACTGCCAGATGGGTGCGGTAGCTCACGCCTGTCTGTAATCCCAACACTTTTGGAGGCTGAGGCAGGTTGATCACCTGAAGTCAGGGGTTCCAGTCCAGCCTGACCAATATGGTGAAATCCCGTCTCTTAAAAAAAAAAAAAAAAAAAAAAAATTAGCCAACTGCCAAGTGCAGTCGCTCATGACTGTAATCCCAGCACTTCAGGAGGTCAGATGTAAAATCACCATAACTCTGATTCTTTCTCCTTCTTCTTTTGCAACTGGACACTTATTTAGACCCTAAAAAGTACAAAATCATATTTAATCTTACAGTTGCTAATAGCAGCCATAATTTCTCAAATGAGAGTTAGGATTTGGCAAACAGAAACTTTTACATTAGTGAGCCCACGAGTTTGAGGCTTCATTGATCTATGATCATGCCAACCTGGGCAATAGAGTGAGACCCTGTCTCTTTAAATAAATAAGTGTTATTATTATTATTATGGAGACAGAGTCTCGCTCTGTCACCCAGGCTGGAGTGCAGTGCCACGATCTCGGCTCGCTGCAACCTCCACCTCCCAGGTTCAAGCAAGTCTACTGCCTCATCCTCCCAAATAGCTGGGACTACAGGTGTGTGCCACCACACCTGTCTAATTTTTGTATTTTTGGTAGAGATGGGGTTTCTCTATGTTGGCTAGGCTGGTCTGGAACTCCTGAACTCAGGTGATCTGCCTGCCTTGGCCTCCTAGAGTGCTAGGATTATAGGTGTGAGCCACCGTGCCTGCCACCTTAAAATAAATAAAATTTTAAAAGAAACGTTTTAATTGGGACTTTCCGGCACATCTGGTCATCATATCAAAGGAGCTGCAGTGGTGTTTTTGGCATGTGCTATAGAATAGAATCTTCATCAAGCAGGGAGGGCTGCCATGAGACCAGCTTTGAGGCTGACAGGAGGAGGGGAAGGGGTGCCCAGGGAGGGACATCATCCTTCATTCCCAGTGACCAACCCTCCATGGGTCCTGATGATGTCTGTGGGCTGAGGGACAAGGGGGAGAAAAAGGAAGGGCACTCCAAGATGCTGAGTGGGAAAGGAAAGGAAGCCCCGGAGTCAAGAAGCCATCTGGCTAGGACCCTGCACCCCGGTCTGTTACTGTTCAAAGATGATCATAGGTTGGGACACTTAAGAGTGCTAATCAGGGGCCCTAGTGTCACCCTCAGAGATACCAAGGATGACAGAAACAGATGAATGAAATGTTGTATGAGGGGCAGGGTGTGGATAGATGATTTTGTCACTTTAGAGGCATTCATGGAAGTTAGAACCATAAATGAGCTATGCAGTCAGTTAAATAGTGTGGAGATGAATGAATACCTGAAGGTAATGCCAAAGCTGGGTTACTCACCAGGCAGCCTGTACAGGTGCATGGACCGGACTGTGAGCAAAGCAGGGAGGGGCAGAAAGAAGGGAAATAGAAGAGAGGAACAAGGGAGGGAAAGCGTTCCCCCGAATTTAACAATCCGAAAACCTAGGCCAGGGGAGGGAGCTCACGCCTGTAATCCCAACACTTTGCGAGACTGAGGCAGGGGGATCTCTCGAGCCCAGGAGTTCGAGACCAGCCTGGGCAACACACCAAGACCTTATCTCTACTTAAAAAAAAAAAAAAAAGGATATCTAGAATAAAGGCATGTTGTTTCAGCATACATATATTTTTGTATTTTATGACTTATTCTTCTATGCCTTGGTTTTTGCCCCACAAATGAAGTGTGCTGAGTGGCAGACCAGAGGAGAAGGGAATGGCAGCCACCAGGGACAGACACTGTCAGTGAGGGACATGTCCACTATCTGATCTGGCGGACGTGGTTTATGTTTACAAAAGTCAGTTCAGGTTGGGCATGGTGACTCACGTCTGTAATCCTAGTACTTTGGGAGGCTGAGGCAGGAGGATCACTTGAGCCCAGAAGTTTGAGACCAGCCTGGGCAAGGCAACACAGTGAGATCTTGTCTCTAGAAAAAACAAAGTTCAGTTTGGCCTTTCAAGCATTTCAAAATAGAACTTCACACCTGGGATAAATGTTTTAAAAAATATTGGAAAAACTGTACTGTCTTCAAGCCTTTACAAAATGAAACAGCTACTTGCCGGGTGTTATGATCCCTGTCTAACTGTTGCAGGACGTGCGTGATTATTTAACTAGGAATGTCAGACACTGTTCCTTGAAACACTTTCTGGGGAAAAGCTACAGGCCTGTGGTGACTGAAAACAGACAGCAAGGTGGCGTGTCCTAAAGACGCACGAGGCAAGGGAGGGCTGGCTGGCAGACCTCCCTCTGTCACTACAGCCATCCTGCAGGCTCCCCCCAACCATCCTGCTGTCAACCTGGGCACTGGGAGACCTTAGGTAGGTTCTGTGGCTGAACTTGAGCTGGGTCTAATCCACTTTACTGTGCTTTCCATAGGAAGGGCTCAGGCTTAGATCATTTCAGGGTCCTGGGGAATATGGGCTGTTCTATAATTGTTGGGTTTCTGGCCCTGGGGATTGGGACGGGTACATAATGGCCCCACGTGTGAGAGCCCTTTAATAAAGGAGGTGGCAGGGAGAGGGCTCTGGATTAGACGCTGTGTTCTCCATGTATGACCAACTGCGGCCTCTCCCAAAACCTTAGCAGATGGTTTGCTCTATGCTGCATTCCAGAAATAACTTTTGCCCACTTGGAAAGGAGCCGGTCAATTATCAGGAGCCATCTGTATTTGGGTGTTGCTGTCTGTTTCCTCACGCCTCTATGACCAGGAACTGCCTCGGCCTGTGCTGTGCTGTCTGTGGTTGGTATAAATCTAATTTCCTACAGTCATTTCAAACTCTACTGTTTGCATAAATCTACCACTGTCTTTATGCCAGGTCCAAGTGGGTAAATGAAAAGTTAAAACATTTCATCAGACCCGACGTGGTGGTTCACCCTTATAATCCCAGCATTTTGGGAGGTCTAAGGCAGGTGGGTCACTAGAGCCCAGGAGTTCAAGATGAGCCTGGGTAATATAGGGAGACCTCCTCTCTAAAAAAGAATTATAAATAAATAAATAATTTTAAAAAGAAAACATTTGCTTGGTGTAGTGGCTCATGCCTATAATCCCAGCACTTTGGGAGGCCAAGGTGGGCAGAGCATGAGGTCATTAGTTTGAGACCAGTCTGGCCAACATAGTGAAACCTTGTCTTTACTGAAAATACAAAAAATTAGCCCGGCGCCTGTATTAGCCTGTATTAAGTGGCACACACCTGTAGTTCCAGCTACTCAGCAGGTTCAAGCTGACGAATTGCATGAGCCTGAGAGGCGGAGGTTGCAGTGAACCAAGATCACGCCATTGCACTCCAGCCCGGGTAACAGTGGGAGACTCCGTCTCAAAAAAAAAAAAAAAAAAAAAAGAAAAGAAAAAAAGAAAGACAACATTTAATCACACTTCTGGGTAGACAAAATGAACTGTTCGGGTGTTCCCAGACACCCAACTGCTCAGCATCATGTAGACGCATCCTAAGAGCATGTCACTTCTCTCCCTGTCTCTTATCATTTATCAGACATTCTAACCCCCTAAAAGGTAGAGAAAGTCTTACTTCATAGACAAGTCATGGTAATAAGATTATACTTTCTGGGCACCAAAAGAATATGAAGTTAATTTTCCTCCTTATATGCACACACACAAATGTGAATTAGATAGGCCGGATGCAGTGACTCGGGCCTGTAATCTCAGCTCTTTGGGAGACTGAGGTGGGAGGATCGCTTGAGCCTGGGAGTTTGAGGCTGCAGTGAGCTATGATCCAGCCACCGCACTCCAGCCTGGGTGACGGAGTGAGACCCTGTCTCTAAAAATAATTTGAAAAATGAAAACACTACAAATCAGAGGAAATCCAGATAACGGTAGAGCTGAGATGCCTGCTCCTTGCGGCCACCGTTGCTCTCCTAAGCTCTGTGAAACCTGTGCCGAGGCCCTGTGGCTCTTCTATGTAGACACACACAGGCTGTGCCAGTACAATGGGGTCCTTAACTATCCAGCAATAAACAGTCATCCTGGATGTCTCATTTTCCTCAGAAAAGACCTGAAAGAGATACGGAGTTTGGGCGGAAGAGGAGATGTTACGATCCTCGTGGTAGGGCTTTGGAGATCACGGAACAGTGAAGCCAGCCTGTAAGGTGCAGACCATTCCTCCTGTGCAGACAGCCTGGTACCTGAAGGGCCGACCGCTGCCATCCATCTGATTGGCTGTGAATGAGGTGACTGCCTCCCAATGAAGAGCAGAATGAAGTGGGAGGTGGGGGCGAAATCAGAAGACATTTGCCCCTGTGGTTCCGGGAAGTTGGTGAGTTGCTGGAGAAGGTGTCTACCAGGCAGAAGGAAAGGCCATTGTTTGAGCAGCAGCATCCAACAGAAACATACCAACGCCACACACGCCATTTTTTGTGTTCTTTTCTTTTCTTTTTTTGAGACAGTGTCTTGCTCTGTCACCAGCTGCTAGGCTGGAGTACAGTAGTGTCATTATAACTCACGGCAGCCTTAAATTCCTAGGCTCCACTGACTTTCCCACCTTAGCCTCCACAGTAGCTGAGACCACAGGCACACACCACCTCACCTGGCAAATTTTTAAATTTGTAGCTACAAGGTCTCAGTATGTTGCCTAGACTGATTCATTTTTCATGTTCTAGTAGCCACGTTAAAAAAGGAAAAGCAGCACTGGAAATTAATTTCACTGTACTCTATATTTACCCTCAAACACCTAAAATGTCATGAAACATGGAATTAATATAATCATAGTAAATTTTTTGTAGAGATGGAGTCCCACTATGTCGGCCAGGCTAATCTCAAACCCTGGGCTCAAGCGATCCTCCTGCTTCCGCTGCTCAAAGTATTGGGATTATAAGCATGAGCTACCATGCCTGGCCAAGAATATTAATCGTCATATATTTTGCACTCATTCTTTGTACCACTACTTCAAATCGAGTGTGTTTTCATCTTGGACTGGCCACATATTGCCCTCAGCCACCTGTGGCTCAGCTGTCCTTCCAGGCAGGCTGCTTGGGGACAGCGGTGACCACCCCCATAACCTTGAGCTTCCATTTCCTCTTCTGGAAGCAGAAAGCAGAGACTGTGTCATCAGTACCATCAGAAACCTGGTTCTTTGGACTGGAGTTACTTTTTTTTTAAGTCAGGGTCTTGCTCAAGGCTGGAGTGCAGTGGCACGATCACAGCTCACTGCAGCCTCTGGCTGCTGGATTCAGGTGATTCCCCACCACAGCCTCCCAAAGCTCTGGAATTAATGGCATGACCTCCACGCCCTGGCCTGTAGTTACTCTGTGTGTGTGTGTGTGTCTGTGTGTCTGTGTGTGTGTACAATGGCGTGATCTCGGCTCACAGCAATCTCCACCTCCTGGTTCAAGTGATTCTCCTGCCTCAGCCTCCCAAGTCGCTGGGATTACAGGCATGGGCCACCACACCCGGCTAATTTTGTATTTTTGGTAGAGACAGGGTTTCTCCATGTTGGTCAGGCTGGGAACCCCCGACCTCAGGTGATCCGCCAGCCTCAGCCTCCCAAAGTACTGGGATTACAGGCATGAACCACCGTGCCCGGCCTGCAGTTACTCTTTAAATAGTTCCTTCTTTGGATGCCCTCCTCTTTCTTTTATACAGGCCAGGCTGCTGTGCTGTGATGAGTAAATCATGGTAGTTCATTATATGAACTCCTCATGGGAATACTTAAAGTAGAGAGAAACAGCCTCAGGCTGGGGACATGCTGGGTGGATGCGGAGGGAAACCCAGAGAGATGCACAGGACTCTGAGCCAAATTGGAGGTTTGCGGCCCCTGTCCACTTAGGGCTCTTCTTCCAGCATTTTTGGTGGAAGACGGGGAGAGCAGCCGAGCCAGTGCCCTTCCACGAGATCAGATAAGTGAGACATGGAAATAGAGGAACATGGAGGGAAAGGGGAATAAAATAAATGGTAATCAATGCAAGGTAAAGACATAGAAACAGTAAGCTTATTTGTAACACAAAACCCATAGAAGCCACATGCTGAGACTGATGCTTAACATGGCACAAATCATTCAGCGTGCTACAAACCCCTGGAAGGAAAAGAGAGAGGTGGATCAATCATTACAATAAAAAAACCCTCTTGAAGGGTGGAGCAGCCCCCCGAGGTTTCTGAACCATTCAGGGTGAAGAAACACAGGGTGACCTGGCAGTTATACAACATGTAGGGTTATTGTCACCAGAAATAAAGGAAATAGCTATACTAATCAATTGTTTGAGCAAAGCTGGCATCCCCCCCCACCGTAATCAAAAATAGGCTCATAGGTAATTTAATAAATAAAAACAAAAGCTATAATCCTGAGAAAGAAAATCCTTTGGTCCAAACTTCATTGCAGACTAGGCATTTGAAAACATCATCACCTGTGTAAACAGCCATTTAAAGTGCTTCTGGGGAGCAGGCCTTGGGATTAGAGCACTTTTTTGGAAAATAGCAATTTAGAACTGAGGCAACTTGCTCAGAAGTTCCAATCCAGTGAAGAGCCCCCATTTGCTAGCAGGGCACATGGAGACCTGCCCTTTTGACTTCAGCACAGGGGCTAGTGCGGATCTGTCAGTGAGCTTTCCTGCAAAGCTCAGGGAGGAGCGCGGGTTCCGACAACGCCCTGCCCTTCTCCCCAGGAGAATCTTCCCTTGGATTGTGGAGTTTTTCTCCTCTCTTCATTCCGCAGAAATCCCCTGAGTTCACATTCACGGGAAAAAACAGAGCCTTGTTCAGCGAGTCACAATGGGAAGCTGGCAGGGATGGCCGAGATACTGTGTTACCCCACTGGGGTTTCCCTTTGAAATTGTCCTGCGGTTGGTGTGAGAGCAGACCAAAAACAGCAGTCAGAAAGATCACTGGAAGGTGGAGAAGCCTCATGAAAGGGAATCAGAAAGCTACACTTATCTCCGGGGGTCCCCACCCTGTTCCTTGAAGCCATCAGAGGCTTCTCTGGAGAGTGCCCGGCAGTTGGAGCCACTATCTTCCTCCTCACTGTCTCTCCAACCCTGTCCCGATTCCTTCTGAGTCAGCCTGGGCTGGGAGATTAAGAATTCAGACTGTGTAATCACTCCTTTGTTAAAGCACATTGCTATACATTCCACGCATAGATGTAGATGTATATAGCCTTTATTTAATTATACAAAAAGCATCTACTTCTTCTCTGTAAAATATTCCGTATCTGCACAAGGAGACAGAGGCTGGATGGGAAGGGATATGGGATCATTTCTTTACAGCCCACAGACACTTTGATTCTTGCTCTGAGGACTTCACTCACTCAGTGTCTTTCATGAGGTCGACTTTGTTCTAGGCACCTTGCTAGGTGTTAGGGACACACTCACTCGCTGTATCTGGGTGAATGGCAGCATTTCATCCACCAACAGAAGGTCCAGGCAAGTTTTGGGGTTAAGTGTCCACCTTAGGGTGGGGTGCGGTGGCTCATGCCTGTAATCCCAGCACTTTGGGAGGCTGAGGCAGGTGGATCACTTGATGCCAGGAGTTTGAGACCGGCCTGGTCAACATGGTGAAACCCTGATTCTACTAAAAATATTTAAAAGGTTAGCTGGGAATGGTGGTGCACTCCTGTCATCCCAGCTACTCAGGAGGCTGAGGCAGGACAATTGCTTGAACCCGGGAGGCAGAAGTTGCAGTAAGCTGGGAGGTAGAAGTTGCAGTAAGCCGGGATCGTGCCACTGCAGTCCAGCCTGTGACAGAGCGACTCTGTCTCAAACAAAAACAAAAACAAAAAACTGCACCTTAGCTGAAGTGAAAATAAGGTAGGTATGCCGTTGCCTTGCAAATATACCTACAGAGGTATATAGCATATTTTTGGTGAGGCTAGAAAGGTAAGTACAGAACATAGTAGAAACTTTGAAGCTAGAAGTTAAGAGCATTTTTGGATTTTTTGTTTTAAAACACAAGGTACTTAAGATCAGATGCTAGAGACTAAAGCTGGAAATCTAAAAGGAAATTTATTTTTATTTGTATTTATTCATTTTTTTGAGACAGGGTCTCCCGCTGCCACCCGGGCTGGAGTGTAGTGGTGCAGTCATAGCTCACTGCAGCCCCAACCCCCCCACCCCCACCCCGGCTCAAGGGATCCTCCCACCTCGGCATCCTGAGTAGCTGGGACAATGCCTGGCAAATTTTTGTGTTCTCTGTAGAGACAGAGTTTCGCCATGTTGGCCAGGCTAGTGTTGAACTCCTGAGCTCAAGCGATCCTCCAGCTTTAGTCTCCCAAAGGGCTGGGATTACAAGCATCAGCCAATGTGCCTGGCCAAAAGTTAATTTAATCATAACCACAAGGTCATTCAAATTAGAAACAAGACAAAGCAATGCAATGAGGGGTAGGGGGCAACAAATTTGAAAGTTCTTTAAAAGCATCAGCTATCTTCCTGAAGGTTATAAAACCACCTTTGTACAATTATGACTGAGATAGTGAAAGAGATCTAACTTTACTGGCTCCATCTTGCTTCTAACATCCAAGCTGTCTTTGTTCTTTCCTGGTAGGTTGAACCAATTTTGGAGGAAGCTTAGTTTGTAGTTTGTAGTTTATTTATTTATTTATTGGAGACAGAGTGTTGCTCTGTTGCCCAGGCTGGAGTGCAGTGGTGAGATCTCAGCTCACTGCAGCCTCTACCTCTCAGGTTCAAGCGAGTCTCCTGAATCAAGCTCTCGAGTAGCTGGGAGTACAAGCACAAGCCACCACACCTGGAAAATTTTTTTTTTATTTTTAGTAGAGATAGGGTTTTGTCATGTTGCCCAGGCTGGTCGTGAACTCCTGAGCTCAGGCAATCCCCCTCCTCTGCCTCCCAAAGTGCTAAGAATATAGGCATGAGCCGCCGTGTTGGGCCTTTTAAAATTTTTTTTCTATTTTCTTTTTTTTTTAATTCCTTTTTTTTTCCTTTAAGAGACAGAGTCTTGCTGTGTTACCCAGGCTGGAGTGCACTGGCACAATCTCCACTCACTGCAACCTCTACCTTCGGGGTTCAAGCAATTCTCCTGCCTCCTGGGTAGCTGGGATTACAGGCGCGCTTCACCACTCCTGGCTATTTTTTGTATTTTTGGTAGAGACAGGGTTTCACCGTGTTGGCCCGACGGGTCTCCTGACCTATTTTTTTTTTTTTTTTTTTTTTTTTTTTTTTGCTTGGCGGTGGTCGCTTGGCTTGACATTTCTTACTTGGCTAGGCTGACCTATTGTTTAAACAAAGATTACAGGCAACAGCGCTTTCCCAAAGCAGACCTCCTTCTTGCCTGGGGACTAGATAACCTTAGCCACAAGATTAGAAATTGTGGTTTAGGAGTCATGCAGCTGGAGGATACAAGATTCTGACCCTCCCTAAACGGCTCCTAACATCAGTGCTTGAGATATTTTGCAGACCCTGCACTTGATGGATCAGCTGGATTGATAAACTGGCTCCTCCGATCTTGTGGCCCCCACCCTGGAACTGACTGAGCGCAAGAAGACAATTTCCACTCCCTGTGATTTCATCCCTGACCAATCAGCACTCCTGGCTCCCTGGCTTCCCCCACTCACCAAATTATCCTTAAAAGCTCTGCTCCCCTAATGCTCGGGAGACTGCTTTGAGTAATAATAAAACTCTGGCTCCCGCACAGCCGGCTCTCCGTGAATTACTCTTTCTCTACTGCAATTTCCTTGTCTTGCTGTGTCGGCTCTGTCTAGGCAGCGGGCAAGGTTTAACCCTTTGTGCAGTTATAGAGTGTTTTCTGTCTTCAGCATTGTTTTTAGCTCGCACCACCCACCCCTGAGTGGGAAGGGAAGTGGTCCTAAGTCTTCTCAGTGTCTCGTGTGGGTGTGGAGGCTTCCACGGAGGCAGAGATCTAATTTTATTTTCCCAAACACTTAACTGTTGGAGAAAAAAAAAATCTCTTCATTAGCATATAAATCCTTCCTAACTTAAGTGTGTAGCAGCTATTCTCATTTGTTTACGGAGTTTGAGATGAGCGAACAGAGGGCTGGCAACCCCAAAGAAAGGAGGAAGGGGCCCAGGAGAGCTGGGGGCTGCCCGCCCTCTGGCCTTCGCATACAGGGCGCCTTAGTAGGTCTACTGAGAACCGGCCAGCTGTTAGGCAGCTGGTCACTCGGGAGGAAGCCCGGGGAAGAGAGAAGTGAGAACGTTTCAGCCAAATAACTAAGCGCACAGCCACCCTGACCGTGGCCGGAAAACCGCGAATGGAAACAGAAAAACTGCCCCGAGAAACTCTGAGAACTTGCATTAAGTTCACAGTATCAGCACCAGAGCTTAATTTCCTCACCCGAAGTTTAAAACATGCACATACTTTCTTTTTAATTGCGGAGACCTCTCTCCTATGCTGGCCCGAGGTCCGGAGCCTTACGAAGGGCTTAGCCGAGAGTGAACGATCTGTGAGTCCTCGAGGCTGAGCTCAGTCAACGCGGTTGTGGCAGGAGAGCATTGACTCGCACAGCGGAGCCGGCCTCCGCCCTAGCTCTAAGGCGCTTCTGGTCGTGTGTCACGGCGCTGGGAAGGCAACAGCTCTGAGCTCAGCTTCCTCTTCAGTCCAATGTAGCCAATGACGGCGTTTCGAAGTGCGAAAGAGATCAAGTCTATGAACGTCACTATGGAAACCCTTAAAGCACCATTTCAGTGTTTCATGAACTATCAAGGGAAAGGGGCACTCACATGGAAGTGTCAGTGTCTACCCCAGCTAACTGTCCCCTCTTTTCTCACTTCTTTTTTCACAGAACCAGGTTACACGTCTTGTCATTAAATTTAATGGATAAACGTCTCGTGAGTTCTACACAAGGCACTGAGCTAAATGGTTTATGTTTAACACCTTCGAGAACCTTACCATCTAATTGGGAAAAAAACACACAAAACGCAAAGTTTTTAACGGTACTCGTGTCAAATTATGAAAAGAACAATGGAAGAGGTCTCTCCCTGGTGAACAATTAATTACTGCAGTGATCTACTAGAAGTGCCATAATAAAGTAGCACGGACGGGGTGGTTTAAACATCAGGAATTAATTTTCTCACAGGTCTGGAGACCTGAAGTCTCAGATCAACGTGTTGGCAGTATTGGCTTCTCCCCTTGGCTTGTAGACGGCCACCTTTTCTCTGACTAGCAAGGTCTTCCTCTGTGTGCAAACCCCCGTAGCTCCCCCTGTATCCAAATTTCCTCTCCTTATAAGGACACCGGTTATATGGGATTAGTGCTCACCCCATGACCCTATTTTAACTTAATTACCTCTTAAAGACTCTATCTCCAAATACAGTCACATTCTGAGGTCCCTAGAATTAGGATGTCAACATGGGAATGTTTGGGGAGACAGAATTCAGCCCATAATAGTTACCAAACCAGAGGTTTAGATGCTGTCAGGGGGATCCAAACGTGATTCTTCTTAAGTTCTTTTGGTGATAGGCTGACTACGAATGAGTGCTATTTGTACAAGTGCTACAAATTTGGCTATCTTCCAGTTAAAGAAATTCAGGAAAATTTCTAGTTTACCTTTATGTCTACAGGACATCGTATTACATATTCTAATTGAATAAAAATATTTAAATCATCATTTGAATGAACTACTTCTCTTACAAAAAAAAATTACGTTTATTGCAACTTAATTATTTTTATCGTCTCCCTCTCTCCCTCCCTTATTCCTTTGGAATGGGGAGGCCCCGTGGGCTATGGAGATTTTGCCTTTGAATGGGCTGTACTAACTATAGCCACAGACAACAAATGCTCAACCGAGGGGTAGGAGAGGCGTGGAGCCTCTCAATAGAGGAGGTGTCCCTTAAACTGGGGACCAGAGCTCCATTTCTGCCAGAGTGTGGTAAGGACTGCATAGAAGTTCTCCTCTGAGTTTTACATAGTGTCTCCACAGACTTTCTACATAGTGTTGCTCCATGTGGATGAACCACGATCTATTTAAAAATTGATGGTTTTCAGCAAAGCATGGTGGCTCACTCCCATAATTCCAGCACTTTGAGAGGCCGAGGCAGGCGGATCATGAGGTCAGGAGTTCCAGACCAGCCTGGCCAACATGGTGAAACCCTGTCTCTACTAAAGACACAAAATATTAGCCATGAGTGGTGGCGTGCACCTATAGTCCCAGCTACTTGAGAGACTGAGGCAGGAGAACTGCTTAAACCCAGGAGGCAGAGATTGCAGTGAGCCGAGGTTGCGCCATTGTACCTCCTGGGTGACAGGGCAAGACTCTGTCTCAAAAAAAAAAAAAAAATTAATGATTTTGTTGGGAAATTGGTATAGGGGAGTGAAGCACAGGCACACAATTCACCCAAAGATGGTGAACTATGCCTGAGCAGGGCCAAAGCCAGAGGACACTCTGGTGGGGGTCCATAGCGGTCCTGTTGTGCAAATCCATCATCTGACCTGGGTATGGAGCCAAAGACTAAACTGAACCTCTGCAAACTGATTCCCTCAGAAGTTTCCCTCAGGATAGCTGGTGCTCTCCCAAAACCCAACCCACGCAGTTTTATCTGGTAAAGTGAATGAGTAGAGATCCTGGGGCCAAAATGATCTCCACCTATTCTCAAACTTTAAATGGGTAAGATTATTATTTTAATTTTTGTGTTTTTGAAATGGAGTCTCGCTCTGTCTCCCAGTCTGGAGTGCAATGGCGTGATCTTGGCTCCCTTGCAACCTCCGCCTCCAGGGTTTAAGCAGTTCTTCTGCCTCAGCCTCCCAGGTAGCTGGAACTACAGGCATCCGCCACCACACCGGCTAATTTTTGTATTTTTAGGAGAAACGAGCTTTCACCGTGTTGGTCAGGCTGGTCTTGAACTTCTGGTCTCAAGTGATCCGCCTGTCTTAGCCTCCCAAAGTGCTGGGATTGCAGGCATGAACCATCATACCTGGCCTCATGGGTCAGATTTTTTATTTTTTATCAGGAGAGAGTCGGAGTATGATTTTTTTTGTTGTTTTTAAATCATGGCTTTGGTATATCTAGGCTCTTTACAACTCTTGACTCAAAAGAGTGCTGTAGTGAATATTTATTTATTTATTTTTGAGACTGAGTCTCGCTCTGTCCCAGGCTGGAGTGCAGTGGCGTGATCTTGGCTCACTGCAACCTCCACCTCCCAGGTTCAAGCAATTCTCTTGCCTCAGCCTTCTGAGTAGCTGGAATTAAATGTGCATGCCACCACACCTGGCTAATTTTTGTATTTTTAGTATAGACAGGGTTTCACTATGTTGGCCAGGCTGGTCTCAAACTCCTGACCTTGTGATCTACAGGCCTCGGCCTCCCAAAGTGCTGGGATTACAGGCGTGAGCCACCGTGCCCAGCCTGCAATGAACATTTATGTTGCGAATTTTACTTTGCATTTAAATTCTTACTGTCCTGCAGCCTGACTTTTCTGACTATAAATAGATGCTCCCTGACTTATGATGGAGTTACATCCTGATAAACCCATAATAAGTTGAAAATGTAAGTCAAAAATGCATTTAATACACCTAACTTATTGAAAACCGTAGCTGAGTCTGGTCTACCTTCATTGTGCTCAGATTGCTTTCTGTAGCATATGGTTAGGAGAAGTCCTCTGGCAACACAGTACAATGTTCATCCTTCATCCTCTTGGGACTGCCTGGGAGCTGCGGCTCTGCCACTACCCAGCATGGAGGGAGAGTACAGTATTGCCTCTCACTGGCCCAGGAAAAGACCAAAATTCCTTTTTTTTTTTTGAGACGGAGCCTCACTCTGTCCCAGGCTGGAGTGCAATGGTGCAATCTCGACTCACCGCAACCTCTGCCTCCTGAGTTCAAGTGATTCTCCTGCCTTAGTCTCCCAAGTAGCTAGTATTCCAGACATGTGCCAGCACACCAGATTAATTTTGTATTTTTAGTAGAGACAGGGTTTCTCCATGTTGGGCAGGCTGGTCTTGAACTCCTGACCTCACGTGATCCGCCCTCCTTGGCCTCCCAAAGTGTTGGGATTATAGGCATGACCCACCGTGCCCAGACCATATTACTTTCATAAAGCCGAAAATTGGTAAGTCAAACCACTACAAGTGGGAGATGGTGTATATAAGCAAAGTTCTCTGAGGTTGAGGCTCTTTAGATGGATGATAATGTTTGTGGCTGCTTTGGTGCTTAGTTTTCAGGATTATACTCAGTTGCTGAGCTGATGTGATCACTGCACACACACAACATAGACACACACACTTCAATGAGTGGTTTCCTTTGTCTGGGGACAGGAGGCAGAAGGAAGGAGCCCTACCCTAAAAGATAACTGAGCTGGAGCCCAGAGCAGTTCAGAAAGCATCTGAGGAGTTAAGGACTCTCAGAGAATGATATTGAATTTCTTGTAAAGAAAGCCTTTGAAATTCTAGGCAGGATTTAATCTAGTCAACAGTAAGGCATGCCTTGCCACTATTGTGAAAGAGAGAATACTTGAAGAACTTCTGCTAAAATGCTGGGTGATTTAGCTGATGCCTCCCATTTCATTTCTATGGTATCGATTTCAGCTTAATGCCCATTCTAGAACAATTGCTTCTTTCCTTTTTGACTAAATAGTTCAGAGACCATCTTGGTTTACAGAATAAATATGAATACATTTCCCTGTGGGTTTGTCCTCTACTTGTGTCAGTTCTTAAATACTTACAGACTGAATTCTGAAATTAAATTTTGACATAGAACACTACTGAAAAATTCAGAATTTTTTTTTTTTTTTGAGACGGAGTTTCACTCTTGTTACCCAGGCTGGAGTGCAATGGCGTGATCTCGGCTCACCTCAACCTCCGCCTCCTGGGTTCAGGCAATTTTCCTGCCTCAGCCTCCTGAGTAGCTGGGATTACAGGCACGCGCCACCATGCCCAGCTAATTTTTTGTATTTTTAGTAGAGACGGGGTTTCACTATGTTGACCAGGATGGTCTTGATTTCTTAACCTCGTGATCCACCCGCCTTGGCCTCCCAAAGTGCTGGGATTACAGGCGTAAGCCACCGAGCCTGCCCCGAAAAATTCAGAATTTGTCAAATTAAATGGAAGGCAGATGTGGATGCCAGGACTCCAAGATGGCGTCAGTTGTGGCTACCAAATAGAAGAAGCTACTGGATGTCAAACTAGGGGAACTGCCAGGCTGGATATTGATGTGGGATTTCACCCCGAGTGACACTGCTGGAGCGTTTCAAAGAGGTTACTACCAGCACTACAGGTACATCAGCGTGAAGAAAGGTAGCATCTTGGGGTTTCCATGGTACTGGCAGCTTATGTGCTCTTCAGCTACTGCCTTTCCCACAGGGAGCTCAAGCAGGAGTGGCACCACAAGTACCTCTGAGGAGGGACCCGCGTGGAGGGCACTCTGTCCTCCTGGCCATGGCCTTCTTGGCTCGTGGCCCCACCAGTGAGGAACACAATTGTGATTGTTGCAGAATCCTTTCCTATCCTAATGGGGATTAACCTCCAAATAAAAGATGACTGGGACTGGGGATGGGGGTGGGTGGGAAGAAGACTTCCCTAGTATTTTTACTAATTTATTGTTGTTAGATTAATATAAATGGAATGGAAACTTGCCAACTAATAGCTGAGCTCTGCCCTTGCAGTGCAAAAGCAGCCATAGACAA